TCCCATCTCAAGATAGTTAACTTAATCATATTTGCAAAGTCTTTGCCATGATATATAGTGGTTCATTATTCCCTGGCAGGATTATGAAGCAGCGATTTCAGGCTGGGTAGAGGTAAGACAACCCCCAAAGCCTTTGTAAGTTTGGATTCTGAGTGCTTGCTGAGCATGTAGGAAGAACTTGTGTAGAAGCCCTGGAGGCCACTGAGCAGTGCCAGGCCTCTGACCTCTGCTGATGCCCATGGCCGGGTGGCTTCCAAGGACATGGCCCACAGCCCCCTGGAGAGCTCAATCTGATCTTGTCCTCCTCCTCCTTTTTTTTTTTTAAGAGACAGTGTCTTGCTCTCTTTCCCAGGCTGGAGTGTAATGGCATGATCATAGTTCACCAAAGCCTCAAACTTCTGGGCTCAAGTGATCCTCCCACCTCAAGCTCCCAAGTAGCTGGAACTATTGGTGCATGCCACCGTGCCTGGGTAATTTTTTTAAATTTTATTTTTGGTAGAGACAGGGTCTTGCTATGTTGTCCAGGCTGGTCTCAAACTAACTAGCCTCAAGCAATCCTCCCACCTCAGCCTCCAAAATGCTGGGATTATAGGCAGGAGCCACCGTGCCTGGCCTTGTCCTCCTTCTTTTTATGGTACTTAGTTAACTTAATGTCCTTCCTGTCCCCTGGGTATCCTGCTAGCCCTTTCATTTCTTTTGTGCCTGACACTTCCTCCCCTCTGCAGTGCCTTCCCCACACCTCCTGCCAGTTTGAGCCTCTTCTCTCCTTCCCAAGTTAGTTCCTACTTTGCCTCCTTCAGGAGGCCTTCCTGGATTTAAAGCATAATCTCTGAGTACCATCCTGTTCCATACCAGTTTGGGGCATGTGAGCGTAGCCATGGTATACTCAGACTGACATAGGGCCCTTGCTTGAAGTTCATGGTTCATTTTCTCCCATGTGAATTCAGTCAGAGCCCTGGGGCAGGGCCCAGCCAGCCCCAGAAAAGACCTTCCCAAGTGGTAGGGAGTTGTCCTAACGGAGCTGATAGAAGCAGCGTGTCAGGAAGGCAGTCAGTGATGAGGCAAATAGAAACTTCCCTGAGCAGGACAAGAGGATCTGGGGGTGTGCAGCTCAGGTCCATGTGCAGATGTGAGCTGAGCAGCCGGGGGAGCCTTATTCATCTGCACTTGTGGTGCCAGGAACGTCTGGGGCTTGGGGAACATTGCCCTTTCACGGCCGGGAAGGGCACTGAGGGCGCCAGGAGGTAATGACTGGCTGCGTATAAAGAAACAACACAAAGAACAAAACAAAACAAAAAGACCGCCCCTTACATTTACATGCTGAGCTTTTAAAAGATAAAACACAAAAATAAAACGAAAAAAACTTGAATTAAGTAATGCAGAATAACAGTTGCATTTCTGAGAAGAAGAAAGCAGTGCAAGGAAGGTGGTGAGCAGAGAAACAGACTGTTTGTTGTGCCCGCCCTCCCCTTTGAGCACCCCAGCTGTGGCCAGGTGAAAGGGAAGCCATGCTGCCGTGGAACATCCATCCAGAACCGCCCAGGGAAGTCCCGTAGCTTCTGCGTGTGGGCGTGTGCACGTGTGCGAGACGGGCTGCGGCTGTCCCCCAGGGCCTCCGTTGTTCCAGCCCTGCCCTGTCCTCCTCCATCACTCACAGCCCGAGGGCGCCCCTCGGCCTCTCTGGCTTCCCTTGTGCAGCTTATGAGTCCCACTCACAGCACCCATTGTGCCTTTGGTCCCACCTTCTCACGCAGGGGCCATCTCAGCCCTGTCCCCTTCGCGTACGTACACACCCTCCTTTGGCCACCTCTTGAGGATCCCCCTCTGCCTCCTTCTCTCCCACCGATGTCATCTTCATTGTTCCCAGGGAAACATTATGCCACCGTGGCACAGTCTTTTGTACTCTGGACCCACGTCTCTCCTAGCGTGTTCCACCAAACAGCAGTTCCACGAGATGATCCTCTACATAGAAAAAGGGGCTCTACTCTCAAAGAAGTCTGGGAAGGGCTGTGTATTGTAGCTCTTCTTCTTGGAGGTTCACAGTGTCCATTAAAGCACATAACCATTTTAAGGCTCTGGGAAGTCCTACAGTGAAGAAATTTATTTAATCGGGCATTTTCCAAACTATGGAATAACTTCATTCCCTTAAAAAATTATGTGGGTGTGTACGTGTGCATATGTATCCATTAACGTCTCGCAGAACTACTGTTACGTTACCTTTAGCGGGGGGTTCTCATTCTTCGTCTGTTTATTGTCGTCTGTAACGTGAGCACCATGCCAGTTATCAGTCAAATCCTACAGCTTCATTGCTGCTCAGCCTCCTTGGCACCAGTGTCCTCCACCTCCCTACCATGGTCATGCACATCTGGGATCTTGACCCTTGATATGTCTGTCTGTGGTCTTAGTCCCTGACCTTTGACCCTTTCTGATATCCCCTCTCACTTGGAAGTGGATGGATATCAGAGGAACAAAACACATGCCTTGTCATCTTCTCTGGGATCTCACAGTCCAGCAGGACATCCCCTGAGCCCTCCCCATTTGTACCACGGCCAAGAGCCGTCCACAGAGCTTCCCCTGTGCCCTGGAGCCTGTCGCCAACACTGAAGCTCATTCGTACCCAGTCATGCTGTTCATTCTCTGGGGAAGCTCTCCAGGAGCGGCTCCATTCCTCTCTCCTGAGCACCCCAAGCCATCTCTGACCCTGAACAGGTGACCTCATATTTTCACCTGAAGAACAGTGTCCCTCAGGTGGGCTGAGTTCCTCCCTCCCCATAACTCATGTCCACTTCCTCCTCCCTCTTCCTGTCCTGCAGCGTGCCTCACGGGAGGGACCCTGTCTCCTGGGGGCTGGGCTTCCCCCGTTCCTGCACTGAGGCCTTGCTCCATCCGTCACCCCCACCATCATGATTCTCTTCCTCTGTGCTCATTCCTCCTCCTTCTACAATCTTGCAAAGTCTTTTCCTTCCTGAAAATCATGTGGCTTTATCCTCCTGTCTCCTCTTGACTCCTTTTCCACACTTCCTGGAGGAAGATGATTACACTTCCCTGGGCTTTCCCTCCTCATCCTTCCTCTCCTGGCATCTGGAACCTTCCTCAGCCATGATTCTGAAACTCATGTCTCCAGGGTCAGTCCTGACTCCAGCTTGGGAGGGACAGTGCCAGCCGGCCCCCCCAAACCACCTCGCTGCCCTTTGCCAGTCAGAGCTGTGGCTCCCCACGTTCGTGTGGTTCTACTTCTAAGGTGTCCCTGGAAGGCCAGGAGAAAACCAACAGCTGCGGTGAAAAACCACCGAAGAGTGCCAGTGCTTAGGTGGAGGTCAAGGCTGGGGAAGCTGCCATTCAGTCCTCCTGCTTGCTTTTCCTCATGTGGAAGGCAGTGGGGAGATGGGGACCGTTCCCAAGGCAGCTGAGATGAGGGTGGTTACCAGGGCTGTGGTACGGAGCGTCTGGATCCCAGGGCCCGACTCTGAGGTCTACTATACAAATCTGCCCCGGGGCTGTGGGGGTGGTGCTGAAACATTCTTTCATCAGGGCTGAATCTCTCTCAGTGGCCTTGATCTTGTTTGATCCTTTCTCCCTACAGCCTCCTTATTTCCTCATCAGCGGTATCCTGGGTTGGTTGGTTGTCAAACCTCCCCTCTATCTGTGTGGCTTCTGGATGCCACAGCCACAGTGAAACTTAACTCGCGAACTCACACTTGGGTGGGGGTCTTGGGAGGCTCTGACCTCCTTGTAAGATCCTTCTTCAGGAGACTCCTCTAAGCTTCTTTCCAGCACTGATGATGGCTGTGCTGACCCCTCAGCCTCCGTCATTAGATTCCTGTGCGTCCCCACTCAGGATGTTGGGTGCCCCCTGAGATGTGGGGTGTGGAGTGTGATCGCAACACAGGTTTCCTGTGTGTAGTAGCCAGCACCCCGCAAGGTCGTAGGCACCACATCTTAGCTTTGTCCCTGCCTAACCTTCCCGGGAAACTTGATTCTGCTGCTTAATTATAGTGTCCACTAATGAATACATTTAAAAATCATATAATAAATACTGAATAGGAAGTTTGGCAAGTAGAGGAAAGAAAAAGCAATCATCTAAAATCCTAGCCTTCTAATAACAGTGATTGTCACTTTTGCATACTCCTTTTAGCTTTTTAAAACACATTTAGAGAACATTTGTTGTAATCCTAGAATGTACACATGCATTTGCAGTGATTAAGACCGTGAGCATCCTTATTTCTGATAAGATTCATGTGCTCCTCCAACAGGAGTGACAGGTGGCACCTCAGGTAGGCAGGCAGGGGTGGCTTCTTGACTGTGTAGAAAACAATGTCTTTTCTACGAATCTAAAATCCTTCCAGTAATGCTGTCCCAGGAGGGATGCTTTGAGGTCTTCTCCCCATTGTAGTCAGTTCATCACAAGCACTCCTACCTCACAGAGGTCTGCAAAGAGAAGCGAATTGGAAGTCAATTTCCAAAGAATGTAGCACTTTCAACCAGCTTGTTTTCTCAATAAGAACAGTTATCACAGTTAGCGTCATCTACATTATCATCTCCACATTTGTAGAGAGCTTTACTTTCCAAAGCGCTTCCCCATGTGCTGCCTTATCAGTCCTTGCAACAGCCCTGTAATTTTCATCTGCCTTTTACAGATGAGGCATCGGAACAGTCAAAAGACTTGACCAAGGTCACACGTTACTTGCATCCAGACCCCCTGCCTTGTCCCAAGCAGTGACCAGACTGTATTTCTGCCTGTTCATCCAGCGCCCAGAATTTTTTTTTCCCCTATGGCCGACTTTCCGGCTGGTTTTCTTAAACTCCCTCCTCTTTCTCCTCCCTGCAGGGGGCCGTGATAAGCGAGGTGGACCCATTCTGACCTTCCCTGCTCGCAGCAATCATGACAGAATAAGACAGGAAGACCTGCGGAAACTTGTGACGTATTTGGCCAGCGTGCCAAGGTAAGGGGAAGGGGAATGGCCTGCAAGGGAGGGGAGGGGAGCTGGGCTGATGCTCCTGAGTTGGAAGGAGCTCTGTCTCGGCCAGGGACCTGGGTTGTTTCTGTCCTTGGAGTGGATTCTAATTATTCCTGGAACACCATCGCCGGTTGTTTGCCTCACTGCTGTCATTCCCGTTGTTACTGTTGGGATTCATGTGAATGGGTGGGAGAGGAAGTGGGAACCGTGGGCAGAGGTGAGGGCTAAGGGGAGCCAGGCTAAGAGGACCAGTACGAGGCCTGCACTGGGACACGGTGTGGCCTGAGGATGAGGGATGGAAAGCTGCTCTTTACCGTAGCAAATGAGAACTCGGGTGGATTCCACTCTGACTTGCATAATAGGTTATTTTCAAAATCTCTGGCTGTGGATAGATTTGTGGCTTTTAGAGTTTGGGGTAAATAACTCCACTTGTATTACTCAGCTAGAGGAGGCCCTCAGTGCAATCTGGGTCATGCATTCTCCGTGGGGATGATATTGCCCCCAAGGGGAGTGAAAATTGGTTCTTGGGGATAGCAAAAGAATTTTAGTCTTTCGTGTATAATATTAATTACAAATATATATATACATATATACACATACATCACATACACACGTATACACACACCAGTATGTATATGTGTGGTATTAAAATTTCATTGGGTGGGATTATTAGGGAAAAAAGTTTAAAAAGGCTCCATCAGGGCAGAGGGCAATAACAAAAAAAAAAGCATGAGAAATACTGGTCTGGGCTGTGGGGGCCATGGAAGTGGGTGTGGGAGCCATGCCGTGAACATGGTTTATGCCTTTTGAGAAGGGAGAGAAGAGGCTTTCGCCTCGTCAGAGAATCACAGAACGTGAGAGCTGGACGAGCCCTGAGGAGCAATCTAGGCAAAGACGTATCATGTTCTGCTTAGGGAACTAGGCTGGCGTAGGATGCTCACAAGGTCAGTGGTAAGCTTGGCCTGGACCTCAACCCCCTGACTCTAGCCCCAGTGCTCTCTCACCATCCTCACTGTCGGCTGCAAGGATGCTGCTCTCTGTCTCTTGGAGTGGCCAGAGCCTGTGAAGTGTTTGTTGTGGCAAATAAAAAGTTGTGCCTTGGGCTTTCAGCACCTTCTTCTTGTCTCTTGTGTTTTATAGGAGCATTAGCAAATTAGAAGGAGGCACTGTATATCCAGCTCTGCCTTTGCTGGAGACCTAGGATAATTTTTGAATGTGCTGATTAAGTTCTTGCAGCAGGTGTGAGTGAGGCATGCACTACATTTCAGATGGCTGCAGGAAAGACAAATGTAAAGGGATTGGCCGATGGTGATGGGCAGGTGGTAAAGGGGACTTTAAGAGCAGTCGTCACTTACTCGGAAGGATGCTGAATGGAATGGCGAGCCCTGAAGAGCTTCAAGCAGAAGGCTGCGAACAAACAGATGCCGAATGGTGTCTATTTTTTTTTAAATGATATCCACTGGGAACCAGAAAAAGGACAAAAGGTCTTATGCTCCAGTAAAAGGAATTGGGTTATATCCAAAGAAGAACTTCTAAACGTTGAGTGCATGAGACAATGAACTAAAGAATAGAAGATTTTTTTTAGACGTCTTTATAAGAAGAAATATTCCTATCTGTCTCAGAAGCAAGGAGGTGGACTAAATAACCTGTGATTGCTATAGGTAATTTACCAATTTAGCCATTTGGGAGCCAAGTAGTTTTTTAAAGCACCTTTTCCAAGTATATGAATAACAGATATAAAACCAGGCATTTTCTAAGGCAATTTACAATAGAAGTTTTCATAGGGACCCATGATGGACTCTCAGTTCTTTTGGAGCCAGAAGAAATTGGGATCCCAGGAGATATGAAGGGTACATTTTTCTTTCTTGCATGTTCATCACATACCTGAAGCTAATTAATGCTCATCTTTTCTTTAGAATTAAAGGAGAGAGAGTTGGAAGAACACTTTTATTCATTTGGACTTGTTAAGCAAAGAGTGGGACAAAAGAGACTGGGAGCAATTAACAAAGACAAAATTTCTGCTGGGGTGAAGGGAACAAAAGCCAGGAGGGCCTGAGGGAAGGGTCACGAAAAAGGAGAAACTACACGTTGTCGCCAAAGGAACATACCAGATGCGAGCTCTCCGCTTCTCAGAGGGTGGTCATGAGCATTGCACACTGTGTTCCTTGGAACAGAGAAGGTTCTTCACAGGTGCTGGCAGGTGGCAGGCAAGAGTCCTGTTGCCACCTTCAGTGGGAAGCATCATTGTGCAATGCCTGCTGCCGCCCTCCTGAGGGACCTGGTTCATCAGCAGTGCAAGTCCCTGGCAGGCTGCAGAGTCTACCAGCTAGTCATGCCCACATGCCCACTTCCTAATTCTGTTGGCTGTAAGTTCACACATGATGGCTGTTGGAAATGAATCTGGAACAGAATTGTTGTCAAGACAATGAAGTTTGGGTAGGAAAACTGAAGAACTTAATGGGTCACATAGTGTTTGCCACTCTTCTGTGTAGTCTTGGCTTTGAGAGAGAAGGGGACTATGAAAATGAACAGTTAGATTAGTAGATGATACTGATGAGAAGAAATTATTTATCTGGGCCTTGATCTAGGAGGCTAAAAAGAACAGGCTCCCATTGAGGTGGAGTGATTGCTACAGACTGGTGTGATCAAGCCTGTAGATGTCATTTGAGATTCATTTATTCATGTATTTATTCATTATTTACTTAACAAATATTTAGAGCCTCTGTATGCCAGGTAGATTGAGGATTCATGGTGAGCAGGAATAGACATTTTGAGAAAGTTAGGGAAAACCTGTCTATTTTCTTACCCAGTAACAGTAAAAGGCAGCCAGGATTGACTGCACTGGTAGCCTAGGAGATGAACCAGCCGGCAGAAGATAAACAAATAAGGACAAATGAGTGATGAAAGAGGATCCCAGGATCTAAGGAGGCAGCCAGCTTGATGGCCATTTTTGGCACCATTCTGGAACAGATGGTTAAACAGATAGTGGCGATAATTTAGAAATGAATAGGAAGAAATAGTCCCACTCTCCTCTCTGCAGGCCAGGCCATATCTGGACCACTGCATTGAACCCTGCAGCATTCGCCTTGCCCCATTTTAAGAACCACGTAGACCAGTTAGAGTGCTGTCGGGAGCAGCACATTAAGGCACCCACAAACCATGTCTCTGCAGTAGAAGGAATGAGGGAGGTTTGCTGGCAGGCATAAAGATGGAAGAAAAAAGTGATTCTGACTTCAGATTTCAAGAGAGCTTCCCCAAAGACAAGGGAAAAGGCATGGTCTCTGTTGCATCAATGAATGGGTAGAAGTTAGCATTAGGCCTTGGAAGGGAAGACAGAACCGGCTCATGTGGGAGCTGTCCAGCATCAATGCTGCTGCCTCTGAAGAAAGTGAGCTTCTTATTCCTGGAGCCTAGCTGATCCTCTGTTAGGGCTGCTGTAGAAAGAGTTCCTTTTCTGGGTTAGAGGTGGGCTTAGATAATTTCCAAGAATCCTTCCTGCCTTGAATTCTAGGTTTCTGTGATATTGGAAAAAGCATGCATCATAAAATGTAGGATCTCAAAACGAATATTATCACCTCCATCAACATACACACCCCCTTCTCAGGCTTCCTAAATAAGTTAAGGCCTGGGATTTCACTTGAGATCTAGTTTACACCTGAAATCCTAAGAGCACTGCTTTCTAGTCCCCTAGACTCTGGGTGGGAATTGTGGGGCATTACCCAGGACCAGGGATTCTGCTGGGGTGTGGCAGTTTGATCGGTCCTGAGTTACTCACTCAGAACCCATCTTGGCCTGCGATGAATCCCTTTCAACTCCCTGGCTTGCTGCTGGTGTGTTTGGGCATCCACCTCCTGGGTGCTCCCTAGGCTTTCTGTCTTCTTCTTCTGAGCAGTCACAGAATGTCAAGGTAGGAAGAGATCTTAAAAGTCTTCTAATTTAACTTCCAAACAACCCCACTGACTCAATCCAACAAATATTTATCAAGTGCCTACTATCAGCCAGGTCCTGGACAGGGATCTTGATGATGTCTCATGTTATCTTTCCTGTCATCCATCCTGCATTTATCTAAGCTTTTTTGTCCTTCTAGCCTCCTATCTGCTTGCAGTTACTTGTACGTGAAAGGAGTAGAAAGGAAATATGTAGATACAATCAGCTGATGAATGACCCTAGAAATTGAAACACAGCATAGAAAATCCAACCCAAGAGTAAACAAGTGCCCAGGCATAGCCCACAGTGTGGATAATCTATCCACTGTGATTACTGGGAGGTGACTAAGTGTTTAAATAGGAATTTCTAAGTACTATGTCTAGTAAAGAAATCCTGAGTTATTTTCACTGTGTTGAATTCCTCCTCTTCGTCATCACTGTTATCCTGCTTTGTCGTGATTATCTTTCTGCTGCTCCGAAGGGTGCAGATTGATGTATCTGCCACTTAATCCACTCTTAGCAGTGCCACTGAGATGATGAGTGTTCTACCACGGAACGCAGGTGTCATAGTGGTGAGGAAAGATGACAAGAAATTAGGACAGGTTATTCTGTAATGCCAATCAAACCAAGGTGCCGTTATTTGGAGCTTATTATTTGATAACATTTGCTCTTGTTCCACTGATTTCATCAAAAGATAAATTGGGCTTATATCCAGCACTGTCTTTGTGCAGCATCACCAGAAAACAGGCATAAGCAGAGAGCCAGAAAGTTAAAAGAAGAGGAGTTAAAAACTGCAAGGGTTTCCTCCCACTATTTTCAGCACGAGAGAGCCTGAGCTATCCAAACTGTCATCAGCAAATGTGTCTTGCTGTAAGGGCCTATTGAAATGTATTGTTGGCACCCTGCCCTTGGTTCTGGGATCATCAATTAAAGGAGAATGCAGGGAGGAAGGGGAGAAATCAAGGTGAGGGAGGGGCCAGAAAATAGGACCAATGAGAAGATTTAGGGCACATTGTTATTATTTACATTTGCCTAAAACTTACACCATTTAAAAATCTG